GACCTGTGATGATTTGTGGGGGACCCTCTTCCCCCCACATTCTTGTTATTGTTGTTGGGGTTTTGGTGGGGGGGTTGTTTGTTTGTTTTCTGTTGATGTTTTGTTTTGCTTTGTCTTGTTTTTACGCTTATTATTGTCTCTGCATGTCTATCTAGATAATATAGGTGGGATAAACAATCCAGAGGAGAAGGCAATGGGACCAACAGAGTCTGGGGGAAAGAAAGTAGGTGCTAACAAACCCAGGGACAAGGGAACAACAAGTGATCTAAAATTGATGGCGAGGAGGGCGTCGGATGTATGGTGGAGTTTGACCAAGGGCCATGTAGCTGAGAGGAATTACTGAAGCCTAAATGAAGGCCGAATATGATAGTGGGACAAGAGGAAAGTAAAAGGAAATACATGAAAGAACTAGGAGGCAAAGGATATTTATAGAGGTCTAAGTACAGGCATGTACATATGTAAATTTATTTACATATAACAATAGGGAAATAAATCTATGTACATATATTTATACCTCAAGTATTAAGGTAGCAGATGGACATTGGGCCTCTACTCAAGTACTCCCTCAATGCAAGAACTTTGTTTTAATAACCCAACATTCTAAACTGCTCATTTTCCTTAAATGATCGCCAAAGACAAAATGGGTGCATAGGCAAATGTGGTGAAGAAAGCTGATGGTGCCCAGGTATCAAAAGATATAGCATCTAGGGTCTTAAAAGCTTGAAGATAAACAAGCAGCCATCTAGCTGAGAAGCAATAAAGCCCATATAGAAAAAGCACACCAGCCTGGGTGATCATGAGATGTCGATGGGATAAGGTTATCAGGCATCAAAGACACAGAACAAAAAATCATTATCAATATGGAGGAGGTGAGCAGAGAAGAGAACTGAGATAGTTAAGGCTTATTATGCCAACCTGGCTGATAAACACGTGGGATTAATTGAAGGGCAGAGAGATAAATGGCTCAGTGAGCCTTGCCTTTCTAGTTCTCTAGTTTTCTTTGTGATGCTCGGACCAGGGTGCAGCTGCCTTAGCCAGTTCCCT